AGCCAGTGTCCAACAAGGAAACAAGTTTCGGTGATCGGTAATACGTGAGAATGCGCAGGACAGCCGACCTTTTCCCCTCAGGCTGCGTTCGAGGCATCTGCCTCGCGACAGTGACAAGCGCGCAGAATTAGCAGAGGCGCGAAAGTCGGTAATTCCGCCAAGCGGAGTCAACACATAAGTTTGTCGTGGAAACGCGCGCGACGCGAGAGCATGCAGGACCGCTCGCTTTGCTGCCGGGCTGCGTCGGCTGCTTGGCGACGAAAGTAAGCAAGAAGACTCAGAAGCACCGTGGTGGCAGCATCGTTGTTGCAAATACCGAAGCGAGGGCCTGTGAGTGAAGATTTCGAGGCGGTGCCCTCGAGGTGAAGACTTCGACGTGGTTCCCGAGGTGGTTCGTTACCTCCACGTGAAGACCTGTCGGTGAACCTGGGGGCGAGGCCCTCACGATGGAGACCACGAGGCGGAGACCTCGAGGCGAAGGCCGCGAGGTGAACAACCACGAATTGGAACGACGTCGAGGCGCGCGACCTCGAAGTGACCGCCTCGAGAGGGAGACCCCGAGTTGGAAGCTTCGAAGTGCGGAGGGCGGGGGATTCTGGGGTGGCGGTCTGGGGCCCGCGCCGCGGCGGCATTTCGCGCTCTCGCCTCGGCGCCGCGCATCTTTTTTTTTCAAACGCGGTGTTCTCGCCTCGGCGCCTGGCGCATTGTTGGCAGCATCCTGATGGCGATTCGAGCCTCGTTGGGACTGCAGAGGTCGGCGGGGCCCGCGCGCGGCGTCGCCCGTGTCCGTCGGGGTCGGCAGGGACTGCGCGCAGCGTCCGCCGTCTCCTAGGATTTCCTTGTATAGATTCCTCAGGAGGGATTCCGTAGTAAAAATGCATCAGCAATTATTCCTTAATCAAAATTCCGTGATCCAGACTCCTGCGAACATACTCCTGAATCACGATTCCTTCGGACATGTTGCTTGGTGAAGGTTGTGCAATGAAGATTCCTTAGCTCGAGGTTCATGCATTTAGATTCCTTGGTAATGGCTCCTCGCTGGCGATTCCTTCGCAAGGACTCCTTCATCAGAATGCATTATTTCGGGTTCCTTAACACATATTACCTATAGAGGATTCTTCCATACATATCCCTTAATCCATGTTCCTTCGTACATGTTCCTTGCTGCTGATTCCTCGCGAAGGATTTCTTAATAAACATTCCTCAGTGAGACTTCCTTATAGCGAGGTTTCTTCAATGCACGTTCCTCGCCGGAGATTCCTCAGGTTTCATGCATGGAGGTTCAGTAATCTAGATTCCTGAGCAAGGGTTCAATAATGCATTTACCTTATTTAACATGGCCCCTTAGAGAGGATTCCATCGTCTGGGTTTATTAGTTACTTTCCCAGGCTAAAGATTCCTGGGTGAGAACCCCTGGCCAATGATTCATCAGTGAGGAATGTTCAAGAAGGACTCTACAATGCGCATTCCCCAATGCATACCTCCCAACGCAGGTTCCTTAGCACATAGTTCTTGCGAGAGGTTCCTTCGCAACGATCCTCTAGTGCATGTTTCTCGATGCAGGTTTCACCGTGCACGTTGCTTTAAAACATATTCCTTAAGCGCGATTCTTTACTAAGCACCCCTTCGTGCAGATTCGTTTCTAAGGATTCCGTGGCATCGGTTCCGGAGGAAGGGTTCTTCAGCACGGCGCCTTTTACCAAATATTGTTTTGTGCATATTCTCTTGTGCAGATTCCTGATTAAAGTCTCCGTGGGAAATCTTCCCGTCTACGGATTCCTTCGTGAAGTTACCTTACTGTGAACCCTTCTGTATATATGCAATGCTAAGGACCCCTTAATCATGATTCCTGATCAAGATTTCCATCGAACCGCCGACGAAGGTGTTCTCATAACATATTCCTTCTCAAGGAGTCCTCAACGACGATTTTTCATGCGGATTCCCCCATGGGGATTCCTCGCTAACTTCAAATATTCCTAGCAAGAACAGATGTTTGCTGTTTGGGAAAATCCCTTACTAAGGATTTCTGTGTGAAGGTTCCTCAGCAATGACTCCCCGGTGATGGTTATTCAAACAGGGTTCTTTAGTCACGTAAAGACTATTCAATGCCAAGCAGCGCCGAAAGATGCCAGGCAATGGCAAGAGCACGACAACTCATTGCCTGGCACCGCTAACCACGACCCACCAATTCAAGGCAACGCCATGCACGACCAAACAACGCTGATAATATCAAACTCATGCCAAACAGCGCCATTGATCACCACAACATTTTGAACAACGCCAAGCACGACCCACCAATGCCAAGCACGACCATCCAATGCCAAGCATGTGCTACACGTACCAGGCATTTGCAAGGGCGGGGGGACACATTGCCAAGCACCGCCAAACATGGCCAACAAATGCCAAGCGATGCGAAGCACACCCATTCAATACCATGCGTGACCAATCAACGCCAAGCATGATCAACCGATGCCACGCAATGCAAGGCGCGATTGTTCAATGTCGCACGCGACCAAGCCATGCCAGGCAATGTTGAGGTCGACCAGTCAATGCCACGCGCATGCGCGAAATGCTGAGAAATGCCAAGCACGAGCAACCAGTGCGAAGCAAAGCCAACCACGACCATTCAATGCCAAACGCAACCAAGCAACGCCAAACACAACCAACCAAGGCCAAGCAGTAACATTCGTTTGCAAGCAGCTCCAAGCATGACCAACGTATGCCAAGCAATGACGCGACCGGTAGCACTGGAACATAGCATCAGCAGTGGAACATCACCACAATATACAGGGCATCGTACCGGGGCTATTCCACAGGAGCCACCAGTCTGAAACAATTGCTGTCAGGGCCGCCGCCAGCGCGCCGCCGTGGACGAACAGAAAAAAACACGCAAGGAGCAGGCAAAGGGGGAGGAGGATCAGGGGGCCTGGGGGGCACTGGGGGACATCGGAAGCGGCGGCGGCGGGGCCGGCCCTCGAAGCCAGCAGCGGTGGCCTCGGAGCGGCGGCCCTCGAGCGCTCCTCGGGGGGGGAACAAAAAAACAAACAACAAAACAAATGCCAGGGAGGTGGTCTGTCCTTCTGGTTTTTTTGGTCCCCCCCCCCCAGGCGGCGCCGCGGGCGGTAGGGGGGGGCGTTCTGGCCTCTCGCCCTTTCCTCCCTTTCCCGCTCCCTCCCTCCCCCCTCCCCCCTACCGCACCGTTCCCGCGCCTTGTTCTCTCTCTCTCTCTCTTTCTCTCCCTCTCTGGCTCTCTCTCTCTCTCTCTCTTTCTCTGTATCTCTCTCTTTCTCTCTCTCTCTCTCTCTCTTTCTCCGACCCTCCCTCCCTCCCTCTCTCTCTCTCCCGCTCTCTCTCGATCTACCAGGCCCTCCTTCTCACCCCCACCCGCGCTGCAACGCGCACCTCGGAAGTCAATCGTACCGCGCGTCGGCCCCCCAAAACCGCCACTCCAGTATCCTCCGTTCTCGAAATGCGCATGACAAAGGGTCTAGGTGGCGGGGATGCTTTGGGTCAAGTGCCTCATGTGCCGGTGTCGCCCCCGCTTCCTAGCCCCCATGGGCGATTGTGCAGGTGTTCTTCGTGCGTGCATCATGCGTACGCCATTACCGTCGCCCGATGCGTCTTGCACAACAGCCACCCCAGGAGCTACGGAAAGCCATCGGCATGCGGGGGGGAGGAGGAGGAGGAAGAGGAGGAGGAGGAGGAGGAGGAGGAGGAGGAGGAGGAGGAGGAGGTGGACGAGGAGGAGGAGGAGGACGAGGAGGGGGAGGACGAGGAGGGGGAGGACGAGGAGGAGGAGGAGGAGGAGGAGGAAGAGGGGGGGAACAGCAGCAGGAGGAGCAGCGCGGGAGGCGCAGGGGGAGGACGCAGGAGGAGAAGGAGGAGGAGGAGGAGGAGGACGAGCAGGAGGCTGTGGACGAGCAGGAGGCCGTAGGAGAAGGGAGGGAGGGAGGGGGGGAGGAAGGGAGCAGGGAGGAGAAGGGAGTGAGGGAGTGAGGGAGGGAGGGAGGGAGGGAGGGAGGGAGAGAGGGAGGGAGGGAGGAGGAGGAGGAGGAGGAAACAGGTGCAGGGCCTCCACAGTCTTACTCTCAAGCAAACTGAGGAGAATTTCCTGCGGGGCCCCAGGGTCAAAGTTTATTGTTCTGGTCTGTGGGCCCAAAAGTCTTGACCGTTGCCCACTGTACCTTTTTCATGCGGATGGAGCAGAGGCCCGAAGGCGACCTCCAGAGGTCGAAACAGAAGCAAGGTCGCCAGCACCCAAAGAATCTACCTGCCGAGTGTTCCCGGAGGCCCGAAGAGACCCCCAGATGCAGGAGCCTCGCAGGCCTCCTAGGCCCCTTCGGTAGCCCCAACAGGAGGAGCCGAGCAAGCCTAAGAGTCAGCGACCACCAAGGGTGTGGTTACGCCGGAGTGCGGTTTGCAATCCGCGCTGCGGGGGGCACCGTGTTGCCATGTTGCCCTCGTCGATTCTCCTCGGGGTGCCTTCCGTCTCCTCCTCCTCCCTCCTCCTCCCCCTCCCTTCCTCCTCCTCCTCCTCCTCCTCCTCCTGCTCCTCGTCTTCCTCTTCCTCCCTCCGGCGGAGAACTCTGTCGATGTCTTCGCTCGCTTCCCAGGGGGGCGCGGTGCAAGCCACACCCCATACAGACCACACCCGACGCCGTCGCCGAGGGCGCCTCGGACGTCTGGGTCCGACCGCCGCCGAGGTCGCCGGCTCCAGTCCTCCTCCTCCTCCTCCTCCTCCTCCTCCTCCTCCTCCTCCTCCTCCTCCTCCTCTCCTCCTCCCTCCTCCTCCTCCCTCCTCCTCCCCTCCCGCCTCCTCCTCCCCTCCTCCTCCTTCTCCTCCTCCTCCCTCCTTCCCTCCTCCCTCCTCCTCCTCCTCCTCCTCCTCCTCCTCCTCCCTCCTCCCCTCCTCTCCCTCCGCCTCCTCCTCCCTCCTCCTCCTCCTCCTTCTCCTCCGTCCTCCGTCCTCCTGCTCCTCCTCCTCCTCCCCACCCGCCCAGGCGCGGCAGGCGGCCCCACCGACGACGCGTTTCGCATGGGCAGCCGCAGGGCGTCCGTGATGTCGGCCGCGCCGCCGTCGGCCCCCGTCCGCGTGGAGCAGAGGTGGGCGAGCCGCAGCCTGGGAGAGAGCCGTGGCCCTTCCGTCGGGGGCAGCGACAAGGGGGGGGATGGGCCTGCGGAAAAGAGGGGGGGTGATGACTAGGGGGGGGTGGATAGCACGGCGGGGGCCATGATATTTCCTCAGATTTCATGGCGCCCCTTCTTGTGTCATTACGTCCCTGGCCCCCCCGCTGGGCCGCGCACATGCCGCCGGTCATGATTTGCACCCCCTCCTCTTGGACACCCCCCTCTTGGCCGCTCCCGAGCCTAGGGGGCGACGCATCGACTCCCAATCGCACTCTCATCGCCGACAGGGGCCCGATGCAGGCAGTGGCGGAGCGTCCCGGCTCGCCGATGGCCCTCCCAAACAATGTTATGGGAAGCTTTTTTGTGGTTTCTACAAGATAGTCTTAGAACATTTCTGGATGACATGGTCTTGTTTTAACACATCGGGTTAGCGTTCTAAGAACATTCTATTTTGTTATTCGAACATTTGTGGGTTCTAAGAACATTTCGTGGTAGGACCAATGGAATGCCTGGACGGTCGGTCCCTGCTCAACCGATAGCCGCAACCTGCCCAGGGCCGTGCGGGTTCACGATCGGGGGCCCACTGCCGATCTATCGGAGATGTATCGCCGAGTCCAGGTTGACGGGTCCCCCCCTTATAACAGTGCCCCCCCCTGTCGCTGCCTCTCAAGGAGGAGAATCTGATTACATAAACATGAATTGTCGGAGCTTCGCGCGAGTTTCTTGGATCTGTGCTGGACCATCCTGGCGGCGCTTCGGCGCCGCCCATGGCGTGCGCCACGCGCCAGGGAGGGGGGCCCGGTGCAGATCCAACAACCAGCCTGGAACGTCGAAAGATTGTGTTTGCAGTTGTTTGTATCCTGAAGTTTGGCAGGTCCCTCTACAGGAGCATATTCCAAAATGGTCGAAAAATTGTCGGGGGACGATGTTCATTATTCTTGACTATGTTTGGATATGTTTTGACCGTTGTTTATCCTTCAACCAATACCCGCCTGCAGGAGGACATGCCCGACCTAAGTGTATCCCTTTATTGCGGCCAGGAGTTTTGGTTTGGCGTGTCGCACCGCCGGTTCTGCGGCCCGCCACACTGCGGCGCGACGCGCCGGCCACGTCCCAGGCCCCGCCCTGAGATCCAGGCGCTGCAACGTTTCAAGCAACGGGCGTGCTCGCTGGGCCTCCTGCAGTCTGGCCCGACGAATGCAGCAGACGGACGAGGCGTTCCCAAAAGGGCCTTGCCTTCGCGAGCAGAAGGAGTTGTCATCTCTTCCGCGGCGGAGGCCGGCGGAAGGGTGGCGGAAGTAAAACGAGGCCCCTGCCGCCGGCGGAAGCCGGCGGAAGCATGGCGGACGGTGGCGGAAGTGAAACATGCGCCCCCAAGGGATGAAAACGTTCTTGGGTTCAGGGTTTCCGAAATCGCCCAGATGAGCGACGCAAAAGAACGGGTCGTCTGCGCCGACTTTGGCGCGTAATTTGCCCGCGTAAGGTCGCGCGTAAGCGTCCTCGTCTTCAAAGTAGCGTACCGCGCTGGCGGCCCGCGCAAGCCATTGCGGAAGGTCGCTGCGCGCGCGTGAGATTATTTTTGATCTTCGCTCAGATGGGGCCTAGGGCTCCAGTCGTGATTTCTGACGATTCTGTCTTTTTTTCCGCGGCGTCGGACATCAGGAGGCAGGCACCAACGTCCCGCGCCTGTTCTCCAACCTCCTGCCCCCCCCCGAGCGGAGCGACACGCTGTGCGCTTATGCAAGAGACAGCGTGTCGCCCGGGCCGCCTCGCCGCGAGACACCAAGCAAAAGTTCCTGGCCGCATCCCCCCGTTGGGGCCCTTCGACTTCGACACCCCCCTCAAGCGATCACCGACACGACGGGCTCCCTGAGGAGGGGTTAATTCTGGGCCTCCCAGATGCGGTCGGAGGATCGTGCCGCATCGCGGATGCATCGGCGATGTGGCTCCGTGTGGGGCCCGATTTTGTCCATGTGGACGGCGCCGGTGCAGCAGTGATGCATTGGCGATGCGGCGCGATCTTCCGACCCCATCTTGGAGGCCTCTGGGTAAGGAGCACGGCCCCCCCCAGTTGTGGCCGGTCGAAGAGGGCCGCCCCGGGAATGGCTGGGCCCCCGCCGGACCAGCTGGCGCACATGCGCGGGTCCTAGTGTGTGTGCTCTCTCGGCGTCGGCGGCCCATTGGGGGCTTCGCGGAGGTCCCGCGGCAGGGGTTCTGGGTGTTTCTCTCGCCGCGGCGTCGGGTGCGAGCCTTGTGAGGAGAGCATCAACGTGGCGTTGAGCCCGGGTGCCTTCCTCTGAGAGAGGGGTCATTTGCTGTAGGGTGAAGGGGTTTATAGGGATCCTGTCATCACGCAGTGATATGAATTAGCATGCCCCCCCTGAACTCGATGAGCACCGCGGCGTCGAAGAACAGGAGGCCCACCCGTGGAGCCTGCCGAAGAGTTTGCGCAACACAGCGAAAACAACGCGATACCCCCAAGTGAGCCCCTCCAGCATGAAGATGTTCACTCCTTCCAAGCCAAGCCGCCAAGAGCGGATGCAAGTTGAATTGTGAGAGGTGAGAAGCACGCCACGAGTGACATAACGAGGAAGGTGAAGCCCACGCAGAAAGCCTAGGCATGTGCGGAGATGAAGGGTCCCTGGGACACACGAACAAATAGACACTAATCCTGGGATTCCCCATATCTTTCATATTTTCTGTATGTTCCTCTTCGCCCCCCCACTTCCCATATTTTCCAATGTGTTCTGGGGCATCCACGATTTGTCTTGTGTTTGTGTGTTTGTTTCTCCTCGTGAGGAGACCGCGGCGCCACACCACATCGCATAACACACCTCCCAATCCACCAAAGAGCGCGACACCCTCAAAGTTGACTGCACGAACGTGACACCCTTCGCACTGTGCACTGACAACACATCCCTTGCGCCATGCTCGAGCACACGAGAACAGTGCCGTTGCATCCCAGGTGAACGCGGACCAAACAGCCGACCAAACACCGTGTCCGAGCAGCCGTGTGCACTCCGGGCCTTCACCCCCGTTACGGTATCACAGGCACCCGAGAGCCAGTGGTGAAAGGAGCAAGCCAGCACCGGCATGGACTGCCTGAAAAAAAGCAATGGAAGCAATGATTCGAGTACACGTAAGGGTGACCCTTCGCCGGAGTGACCTTTGGTGCGGGCTCATCGAGCTCCCCCGATCGCCGAGCGCGATACGATATGAGTGGCCCACGCCCTTGGGTTTGGCTCCCTCGCGCCCCCAAAAGCTGCGCACCAAAGGGCACTCTTACCCAGGGTCACTCTTACGTCTAGCCGAATGATTGATTGAAGGTTGCAGCGATTTCGTCCGAAGGTTTGAAATGCACAGCCAGTTTGTGCGAAACGACGCCATCATGAACCTACACACAATGACTGGTCACCGCAGGCCCATCCCCGCACGTGCAATAGACACCCGAGAGCCATGGGGAGGACGCAAAAGAATAGCACCAGGATACTGCCATACATTTAGGCAGATTCAGAACGACAAGTGAAGAAGGCCCCAGCGAAAACATCCCAATTTTGACAGGTGAAGCTGCAGTACAAGGCCGAAATCGCACTTGCCAACATTCGCCCTGGTTCGCCGACGCGCAGAGCTGCACTACTGCGTGCGGCTGCCACGTCGCCCCACAAACGCCCCGTGACGGCGCAGGACCTGGACTCGATGAGGCCCCGTCCGAGAGCGAAGATGCTACGGACAAGCCTCGAGCGGGTGTTTGAGTGGAGACTCAGGGGAAGGGGGGAGGAGGAGGGAGGGCGAAGTCGTGGGTGGAGGGCGGAGGAGAAGGAGGAGGGGGCAGGAGAATGGTAGGTGAGTTGGCATGAGGAGGATGGCGAGGAGGGGGAAGGAGGGCGAGGAGGAGGGCGGGGGAAGGGGGAGAACATAGTGCAATCTGGGAGGAGGGTAATGGTCCCTGAACTGGCCTGGAAGAGAGTCCGTTTGTCTTGGGCTCAGTTCGGCTGCTTCGTAGAATTTCCCTCAGCGTGGTTCCTCCTACCACGAGCGCAGAACACACTGTTGGACGGCCGAACGCGACTCGGGCAATGAAGAGGTAAGAGGAGCCAGTTGATTGGATGACTGTGTGGGGTTTGGGGTTGATGCGACCTGCTGATACTGGTCCAGCTACGAATGTCACATGTTGACTCCCAGCCATTCCTTCTTGATTGCCACTGTTGCTTGGCAGTCACTAGTTTCGAACATGTGCTACCTGTCATTCCCGCAACCTGATCGAGAGATGTGCGAGATCGCGATGGCCGCTATCATAATTGCAGATTGGGCAGCTGCACTAAATCAAAGTAGGGTATTGGATTGCCAAGTTCCTGGATGAAGAAGCTCGAGAGTGCGGATACGGCCAACGGCAGGAGCAACAAGGTCGCGCTGGAGCCGATGACATTGCATTTGCACTGATTGTGTAACAGCTTTATTTTTGCGCCCTCGAATTTGCGCGTAGCTTTCATCCTTTGGGTGGGAAAGGCCATCGTGAGTGCTCCAGGCTGCTTCTCGGAGTGGGAGCGGGACGTGGGTCGAGCTATGTCAAAACTTAACGCTCATGGTGGGATCTCTTCGCAGAGGGCGCCTTGAATCGTCAGGCGAGCATGTGCTCCCGACTTGTCAGTCAAACAGGCTAGTGAACTCCACTCGACCAGTTGCTGCACAAGGTCATACGTCGATTGGGCGCTCCCGAAAGGGCCTCGCCTCCGAGGATCGAAGGGGCGGCCGTCTCTTCCTCGGCGGAGTGTGGCGGGAGGCCTGCGGAGCCGGCGGAGGCAAAAGATGCGCCCCACGAAAGATGGCAACAGTGTCTGCACGAGCGAAATGGACACGGAAAGAGTGGGTACAATGCCCAACAACAGTCTTTGTTCATCTTGAACAGGGCTCGCTGTCCACACCGCCGCGGCCTGTGTCCAACTGAGACAGAGGGCCGCCTGCCCAACAGCGACCGCTGTTGGTTTGGGACAACATGTGTTGTTGGGGATTTTGCATTTTTTCCGTGTCCGTGCCCAATTTCAGGCGTCCAAACAGTGGTGGGTTCAGGTTCTCCAGAACCCAACATTTGGGGGCGTTCCAAAAAGGGCCTTGCCTTCGAGGATAGAAGGGCTGTCATCTCTTCCGCGGCGGAAGGCGGCGGAAGGTCGGCGGAAGTAAAACGCGACCGCTTCCGCCGGCGGAAGGCTGTTGAAAGGCGGCGGAAGTAAAAGATGCGCCCACAAGAGATGAACACGTTTTGGATTCAGGGTTTCCGAAATCGGCCATTTACAGGCTGAAGGAAAGGTTTCAGCACGATGCGCAATAATTCTGCCTTGTAGTGCGACGCGGTGGCGTGATATGCGGGTAGGTGCACCACCCTGTGTGTTTGTGTGTGTGTTTGTGTTTGGGTTTGCGTGTATCCGCCAAGCTCAAGTGGCCAACGCCTGAGTCATAGGCCAATCAGGTGCACAGTCGTGCCCAGGATGTGTGCCCGATTGATTATGCCAGCTGCACCTTGGGGCTATGTCGCGGCTGTGATGTGCGAGAGCAAGTGTCGCGGTTGGTTGCATCGGTTGATGTGCACACGCGCACCATTCGGTACATGTGCATCGTCACGCGATGCGGTGGGATTGTGTTTGTGCGTGGGAACGCGCGGCATTATGACACATTCGGATCGGTTCACGCAGTTGCTTGTCAGACTTCGTTTGGATAAGCTCACTTCAGACATCGGGCGACCTCCATGTGGTACTGCGTCTTGCATTCCCGAACAACTCATCTCGCTCATTACGAGAGGACTCGCACACCGTACGCGCCCGTGGCGTGACTTTCTTGGGATGTATTGCAGTGTTGATGTGCGCTACCTGACACCATGCTTCTTCCAATTAGACATTGCCCGCGCTAACCCTATGCATCGCGTAGCCTATGAATGTCGATCTGCCTGTGGTAATATATCGTGGCAAGTATATTTAGGCACACGTTGAGCAACTGTTGATGTCACAGTGCGCCATCATGTAGCCAATACTTGGCGCTTGCGATGATCCAGCACCAGCCGGTGTGCAACCGGGTTCGATACATCAGCTGAGTGTTTCCCTGCCGCCTCAATTCGATCATCGCAGTTCTCACAAGTTCTGGCACAGTGTGCACAGCGGTCATGTTGTGTTCTTGTCGGGCCCTTTGTCGATAACGGCAGGGTTGGCCCACGAGGGCGTGTTAGCGTTGCCAAAAATATACCGATGGAACAGGTGACCGCTGATGCGCTCAATGGGATCAGAGCGGAGGCCGCCATCGCGACGCAAGACGCCGCACACATTTGGATGATCATGCCTGACGAGGACTTCGCGAGCATCGCAAAGGAGCTCGCCGCCTTCCGTCAAATGTTTGTCAAGCTCTTACTTCCCCTTGATCTTGACCTTTGCGTTGAGCTTGCATCGCCGATCGCCGATCCCGCCGTCTCCCGCCGCCAGCAGGAACCTGCTCCGGCCCTTCCCTCCGTGTCCGGCCTGGGCGGAGCCTCCCCGGGAGGAGAGCGCGGGCCGGCGGCGGAGGAGACAGAGTTTGGGCTGGAGGCGGGGGCAGGGGCTGGAGGCAGGGATTTCCCCTTGTTCAAGTGGATGGTGGTGGCCTGGCACAGGAGGACGGGGGATGTAGCACGGGAGAGGAGGTGTTGGGCCAGGGAGGGCCCTCTCCTCCCCATCCCCGGGGGCAGGCCCTGGGAGGAGCAAGCCCCGTGGGAGGAGGCGGGCCCTGCTCCCGGACACCCCACGACGCGGACCCCCAGAGGTCTGCACCCGTTCCCCAGGGCCTTGAGAGCTACTCCTCCAGCTCCAGCTCCAGCTCCAGTGCCGCCTCCTCCTCCTCCTCCTCCTCCTCCTCCTCCTCCTCCTCCTCCTCCTCCAGGTGGCCCCCCCGGCAGCCATTGCCCACCGCGGGGGCGCGGGAGCCCGCAATCGGGAGACCCCAGCCGCCCCAGGCTTTGCCTGGCGCGCCAGCCGCCAGCGCGGCTGCTGCCTCACCCGTGGGGTTGGATGCACCTGGACGGTCACGCTCCCCAGCGTGGCATCAGCGACTGCGCAGGCATCGTGCTGTTGCGCGCCGCCGCCTTCGCTACGAGGTGGACTCTCGCCTCCTACATTGTCATCACGGCTCCCGCCCGCCGTGGATGGGCCGCGGCGCTGGAATCAGCCGCGCGCCAGATGCAGGCACTACGGTTGGCCGTCGGGGTCGCAGTGCTGGGGATCCTGGCGGCGAGCGGTGGGCTTGCGTCGCCACCAGGCAGTGTGGTTTCGCTCGCAACTTCAGCACCAACGAGAGGTGCCACATGTGCGGGCGGGACAAGCAGGGCAGGCCAGACCCGACTGGAGCGGTTCCTCAAGGTCAGGGACGACGAGCCCGCAGCACCTCCCTTGGGCGCCGTGGTGCGGGCCCAGACGCTGCCGCAGGGGCTCAGCCTGCCGAGGGCGACGACGTCGCCAAGGCGCGCAAGGCCCTCGCCGCCCTACGACGCCTACAACTGGCTGTTGACAACGAGCTGCTGGTTAGCGCTCGCCGTCAGCTGGCGGAGGCTGAGGCTCGTGAGCATGCGGGCCGCACGCCCGACGATATGCTCAGGCGCGCGCTCGATCGCCACGCGAGCAGGCAGCGCGAGCACGACGCGCTCAGTGCCGGGGTCCAGGAGCTCGAGGGCCAGCTGTCCATCAAGCAGCAGGAGCTGGCCACCGTGGCGACGGAGCTCACTGCGATCAACGCTGAGGTGGTGGTCGCGCGGACCGCCGTCATGGCAGCAGGGATCGGCGGCGCTGCAGTCGGCAGCATGGAGGACGCGCTCGGGCGACTCCACAATGTCGTGGCCGCCGCGCCTCGCGCCGTGGCGGCGGGAAACCAGGGCACGCTCCTCGAGTCGCTCGGGACCCACCTCGCGGAGCTCCAGCGGGCCTTCGACGCCCACCGAGGCGCCGCGCCTGCCGCCGCCGCCACTGGCCAGCGGGTCCCTACACCGCCCACGATGCCACCAGCGGCGCCCCCCATGGCTATGGCTGCTGATCTGGAGCATCCTTGGGACGCGAGGATCGACCAGGATCTGGACACGACGCCTGGATGATTGGGATATGCTCCCGACGGGAGCGAATTGGTTCACTAGTTTGGCTGGTGACACGAATGGCGACTTCGTGCACGGGCACCTTGTGGACAGTTGCTCGCTCGCGGCGGCTTCATCTCGAACGCCGACCTCCCGCACGACGAGTTTCGCAGGCATGGAATGGCCCGCACCGAGAATGGGTCAGCGACCTGAGTTCACAGCTTGGGAAAGGCTTGGTGGCTTTCTTGTCTCTATCAATCGGCAGTGGGCTATCGAGTCGTGGCTCTACTCGCCTGATGAGTCACGGGCTTCGTGGATGCAGTGGTGCATCGATGCCGTCTCCTTTGAGCTCACCATGACCCCCATGCTGGATGATCTCATCCACAGGATGCGCACCACGGGCCATGACAACCCTGTTCTCTCTCTTGCCACCGACATTTGCGAGACGGCGTGGCAACGCAACAGCCGTCATCGTGGACGAGTTTGCGGCCGATGGGAGGCTTTACGGTTCACACATCCCACCCGCTTGCATTGCGAAGCGCTGCAGGCCATTGTCAAGCTCGGGGTTTACAAGCGCCATCTTTATTTCAGGTCTGACCCTGAGGTCTCAGAGCTGCCGATTGACGTCCGACTCCTTTTGGACAACCTACGGGCTACGGACCAGCTCCAGACCAGGTTGACACATGCGTGGCGACCTAACATTGGCGTTTGGGCTGAGGATTTGCTGCGACGGTATCATGGGCTTCTTGAGCTCATCGGTGTGGCCATTCCTACGCAAGCGCCCTACAACACCAGCAGTGATGAAGACGGCCTTGAACCCGAGCCAGGACCCGCCGCTGGTGAAGAAGGAGGTGGTGATTCCATCAGCTTCATGCAGCACGAAGTCCAGGTCGTTCATGGCGATGGCCCGTCCAACGTCCTCTACATGCACGGCCTGGACGCCACGCAGGTATCCGACATGAGCTTCCAGGGCTTGTCGGGCCCGCTGCGCCTGGCTAATCGCAACGACCCTATCGGGGCAAGCCGCAACCCACCCGCCCCTGCCACAATTGCTGTTGCAGAAGGTACACAGTGTCCTACCTTGGATATCGGCGCGGGCACGGCTTCGGACAGGGTTGGTGCTGAAGTGGCTCCGAATGAGCCCCCTGTTGGGCGTAGGAAGCGAAAGCGTCGGGACACCGATGCAGGGCCTCAACGGGCTCCCAAGCGGCCTCGCTTACCTAGTGCTCCCTCACACGGTGGCTCTTCTCGGCCCTGGAGACGTGCCCCGAAAGCCTCCTCAAGAAAGTCTGCGGTACGCTTGATTACTTTCAATTCCAGTGGCTGGCCTCGAGCTAAGGCCCTTTTGCAAGAAGGACCTCGTGGGGCCATTGCGGTTGTGCAGGAACACAAATTACGAGGTGATCGTCTGGCCCGTGCGCAGGAATGGGCACGCAGCTCTGGGTGGCAACCATTCATGACTGCGGCCCGACCTGGGGAGGACGGCGCAACACAGGGATGTGGTGGCGTGGCCATTTTTGTACCTTCCCACATCAGCGTGACCTTGCCTGGGCACGCTACATGTCACATCTTCGTGGAGGCTTGCGCCGTGCTCGTCCACATACACGCCGGCCCCAAACATGGTTTCCTCTTGGGGTCCATCTACCTGGAGCAAGGTCACGGGCTCTCGGGACCCAACCATGACAAGCTCAGGCTGCTCGGCTCCACACTGGCTTATCACAGGCTGCCCTTTATTATTGGAGGCGACTGGAACGTAGGTCCAGATGCACTTGGGAGGACGGGTTACCCTGACAGGTTACGTGCTCGTGTGGTTGTGTCGGCAGAGGGCGCCTACCGTGACCCCAAAACTGCGAGGCGCACTCTGCTTGATAACTGGCTGGCCAGTGATTGTGTCGCGGCCGCCGTGACTACGCCAGCCACATTGGCGGACTTCCCACCCAGGAACCACTGCGCGGCTATGACTACTTTATCAGGCGGGGTCCGCCCACGCGCTGTCACGGTCTTAAGTGGGCCTGTGCCTTTCCCCGCCACCCCCACTGCGAAATGGAAGGATGTGGATGCCCACCAGGATCAGGACGGCGAATTTCAAGTCGACGCGCCTCGGGGCTCACATGAGCGACTATGGTCAGAGTTAATGGCTCACGACGCGACTAGTCGCCTTGGGCCGAAGGAAGGGCGCCGGGCTCGTCTAGATCACCTCTATGGTGCGCTGTACGCTGGTGCCGAGACGGAACTTGCCCCTTTGTTTCAGGACGGCGACAGCGCCGCTACACAGTACTTGGGGCGCCAGCAGGGACCTCGCTATCGCCAGTCCACCTCTGGGGGCGCCCTGGCACGGTACCAACCTTCGGGCACGCAGGTTTCTCGGGCCCTTCGGCTTCTTCAGCTTCGGGTCCACGATGTGCGCCTCTCGCACATTTCTCTGGGTTCTCCTCAGTGCCCCCATCAAGCCGGGGGTTTATTGTGCGATTTTCTCTCTGGGACTGGGCGACGTGGGCGTATGGAGAAATACCTACCCACGGAACTGATCCCTCTGGTCTCGCACTTGATTCAACAGGTTGTGGAATCCGCCCCTCAGTTACACCGTGCGCTGTTTCAGTTCGCGGGGGACTATTTTGGGCGCTTGGCTGCTCAAGAGGAGCGTCGACTGGGACAGGCGCGTGCGAAGTCCTTTACAGCTTGGTTGCGACGACAACTGAGCACGCAGCCTGGTGCAGTACACAGGTGGACGAAACCCCGCGGGTGGAACCTATCTCAAGTCCACGGGGCTCTCGGACCTACCAGCTTCCCTGGCGTTGTTGTCGAGTCACAGCGTACCTCATGGGGCCAAGTCTGGGACAGCGCCCCTGGGGCCCCTCAGCATCTCTCGGGAAGTATGCACAATCCTGAATGTTTTGGCGACATCGTGGAGGACATGCGCCACCTGTGTGAGCACGGGCCCCGACTTCCGCCCCTTAGAATTGCGCAGATCCGAGAGGCTGCTATGCAGTTCCCGACCCGTACGGCTGTGGGTGCTGACCGTTTCCGCCCACGTCATTGGGCCCTCTTATCCAACGACGGCCTCTCCTTCCTTGGGCACTTGCTATACCTATGTGAAGTATTTGGGTCTTGGCCCCAACATGCGCGTCACGTGCACATCGTCCTTCTGGCTAAGCCCCTTGGGGGCTACCGCCCCATCGCCCTCCTGCCTTCGGTTTACCGTGTGTGGGCGAAAGCCAGGATGACGTTCGTACGAGAATGGGCTTCCCAGCTATGCCGCCCCTACCTGGCCTTGGGGGTACAGAAGGCCACCACAGACGTGGCTGCTCGACTCCTGTTTCACGCTGAGGCCCACATGGGGGGCGATCCGACTCAGGCTTCCCTACGTGCTATCGTCGATATTGCCAAGTGTTTCGGCGATATATATTGGCGTAAGCTCCTCGCCTCCGCTGGGGTCCATCAATTTCCAGGTGTGTTAATCACATTGGCTCTCCGTATGTATGGCTCGGCACGGCGTTTGGTGTGGGATAGGGCCTACTCTACGGCTACTTGGGCGAGTCGTGGGGTACTGCCTGGGTTTGCTCTGGCTATGTATGCTTTGCAATGCATCATGCTGCAGCCTGTCGATGCCTTGCATCGGCACACGTGCACCATCTCTCGGTCCATTGACCTTGACGCCGATGACGTTGCGATTTCGATCGCTGGTTCGATTTAGGCCCTTCTTGACCAGGGGCCCAAAATGCTGCGTCTACTACATGGCGTGCTGGAACGCCTTGAGCTTCCAGCGGCGGCGAATAAGATGAAAATCGCATGCAGCCATCCCAAAACAGGACGGGTCATCTGTCACATCGTTCGGGCTCTGAGGTTTGTATATCAAAGCGCCCTGGAGGTTCTTGGGATTGATGTGGCTGCAGGACGGCCGCTACGGCATCACAAGTTACGATCCCGCCTTCGGGCCACAGGTCGGAGAGTACCCCGATTTGACAGTGCACGGAGGGCTGGGCGAGTGGTCAATCGTTTCGTACGACAGGCGATCCCCCCAGCCCTCAGTTACGGGGCAGGTGTACACGGCATCCCGCCCCGCCTTGTGCACCGCGTGCGGCGCCTCGTGCGCAGTGCCTGGCATGCGCCAGGAGGCGCCACTTCAGCGTGGCTGAGTGCGACGCTACAGCCCGACAGTCTGGCCGATCCCCAGGCGATGGCCTGGCGTGCCCCGATTTATCAGTGGGCGCTGCTGCATCGTGACAAGGCTGTGTCGGGGGACGTACTACAGAGGGCTCGGAGTCAGCAAATCCGCAACCTCTACCACCACCCCAAGCCTTGGACTAAAGTCGCAGGCCTTGCTGGGGCCACACTTCTGGCCTTTCGGGATCACGGATGGACCGCGGTCTCAGCTCATGTTTGTCGTACCGACCATGATTGCATTTTGGACCTCCGCAGAGATGCCCCTTCGACCTTGCTTGCGCTTGCCACAGAGTCTGCCGCTCGTCGCTTATGGGCCCTGTGGGCTGGCAGGCCCGAAAGCACATCCCAGGGGATGGCCCCGAAAGAAACCGCTGGCTACTGGGTCGAGCCCCTCCTGATGGCCCTGGGCCGAGTTCGCGTGGAGGAGTCGGATTCAGAGGATGACACTGAACAGGGCCCCCCCCCGACCATCACGGCAGCCACTACGAGCAGCGTGCTTCCTCTTGCTGGGAACCTGATCAGCGAGAGGCTGGTTTGCTTCAGGCGCTCGTCACAGGTGGCGTTTGGCTACCGCAAAGGCTTGCACAGCTGGCTTACACGGATTGCTCAGAGTGTGCGATGTGCGGTGCCGTGACATGTGGGGTGCATCATGTTGTTTGGAAATGCTCGTGCGATGTATTATCAAAAGAACGTGAACAGGTGATGTCTCGCTTGGATACCCGTGGATTTCCATCGTGTGTCGAGGGCTCTTGGTTCTGGGATCGTGGGCTAATTGGGCGTTCTTGTTTCCCAGTATTACCACCTCGAGACGATCCGGGGGCCTGGCGCATCCTGTATGGAAACCCATGGGGCGTCTCGGGCAGGGTCTACACGGACGGAGCCGGTCGTCGGATCTGGTACTGGCCCGAGTCGGCCCGAGCAGGGTGGGGCTTTGCCACCTTATTTGGTCGCGACCGTGGTGGAGTTCAATGTGTTGTTTTCGGAGCTCTGCCAGGTCCTGTGCAGACCTCCCCATCGGGCTGAGATGTTCGCCGCCCTTCAAGTCCTGATGGCCTGCCTGCTTCCTGTCACTATAGCAACTGATTTGAAAGGTTTACCCGATGGGATTGTCAGGGGCCCAGCTTGGCGTTTAGCTCCTCGCAGGAACAACCTGGACCTCTGGGAGGCCATCTGGGGTAAGATTCACGACCTCGGCGGTCTCCAGAGCGGCGTCTCCTTCGAGCTTTGTAAAGGGCACCAGCGGGGCGGCAGCGAAGTGGCGCGAGGCACTCGGTGGGCCGACCTGGCTGCCACCAGAGGGCGTGATCTTCACTGTGCTTCGCAACAGGCCTGTAAGGCCATGGCTGCCGCCTTCAAGAATTATAATCTTTGTCTCCGATGGATGGTGCGCGCCCTCACCATCTATGGTGGCACGGGGCGCTGTCCCACCAAGCCTCGGGTTAAGCGTGCCCGCCGCGCCCCCCCTCCTGATGAGGCCACGGGCGACGCCCCGTCTCATCTCCGACACGTGTTTGTCAAGGTCCCAGGGAGGAGGATTTTCCGCTGCGGGCACTGCAAGTTCAGCGCTATGACTACCGTGAGAGTCGGTCGTCTCGAGGTCCTCTTTTGCCCTGCTCGCCTTCGGGCTTCGGCGGCTACGCTCGGACTCGAGGCATCGGAGCTCCCAGAAGCCCCCAGGCCTGGCCCTTTTGGGCCTGCGTTGGCCGTCGGATACTCCATGGGCTCTGATGCGTCTCCGTCGGCCTCGACATCTCTTCGAGATGCTGAAGCAGGCCGAGACGTGCAGCTTCCTAGCGAGGTGGCCGTGGCTGGCGACGACACCGCCATGGGGACGGAGGCTCCTATTCCTGAGAGGAGCACTGGTAGCGCCCGTGCTGCTGCCTACTCACCTCCTCACGTTTTCGTCGACGTTTCGGACCTTCGGCGGTCGACCTGTCGTCCTCGCTCGCCTAGTTCCGAAAGCGAGGGCAGTCGCAGCGTTAGGCCGAGAGTCACTTTTGACCCTATAATTATGGCTCGGTCTCCTGGCCAGGAACAGCAGGATCGAGCCACTGCGGACGTCAATGCTGGCCTCCCCAGTGCTAAGCGTAGGCGACAAGCACGCAACCCCCGCCCCAGACTGAGTGACACCACTGTACCGATTACCCCGCTGCCAGCTGCAAGTCGGAGAGGGCGTCGCGTAATCGCAAACTGTTCTTGGAGGGTCGGCACCCTGCCGATGAAGGCAGGCCTGACGGCCGCACCCTTCGGACCCCTCGGCCTCTTTTGGCCACCGACCCCGAAACGCTCTGGTTGCGCTTGGGCCCCTCTGGGGCCTAGCGCTCGTTTTAGGTTTTTGTTCCGCTACATATCTTGGCGCTTGCGCCTGGCTCTTCTGAGCCTTGCGTGCTGGCGGCCCGCCCCGAGATCCTCGGTGGGGGCGAGTCGCACCTTGCTAGCACGCGGGATGGGCTATTGCCTGTCCCCTTCTCTGTGCACGCTAGGCGCGATCACTGCGCGGCGTCCGCCAGGGCAGTGCGTTATCCTCCTCCTCCTCTTCCTCCTCCCCCTCCTCCTCCTCCTCCTCCTCCTCCTCCTCCTCCTCCTCCTCCTTCCTCCTCCTCCTCCTCCTCCTCCTCCTCCTCCTCCTCCTCCT